GTTGGTTAACAGCAAGTTATATCATTCTTAAGGCACCATGTAACTCATCTCACTTATGTAAGAACTTAATGACTTTTAGTTTGATAATAGAAAAATAACATTAATTTGGATGATAAGGTAATGAACTGATTTCTCTAGGCAAAATGAAAAATACAATTTATGTCAATATTCAGTACTTCAAAATCAGTTTCCACACAATTCATCAAAACCAAAATGTTCAATGTAAAATAATAATTAAAAAACCCTCTGATCATCTCACAAACTAACTACCTGCTATATAAGATGAATCCAAAATAAAGTATTAGTATGAGTAACTGAAATCTATGGTACATTGTTTCCATTAATTTTTATTAAATGTTTCTTTATAATTCTTTCCATTCCAAATGAGAATAATTTATGGCTTCTGTTTTCTTAATCCTAATATTATTATTTTAGGGTATTATCATAACCATTTATTAAGCATATGTTAAATACCATCTTAACATAATTATTCCTTCTAGTCTAGTAACATCTTGTGTTTACAGGAATAATATATGAGATATACCAGAAACACCGTCATTGAAGGTTTCAATTTTCAACATTCTGTGTATAAGTAATTAAAAGATAAATACTTTCTCCTTTGAGAAAGGAAAACAGAAGAAAATAGGCAAAAGTAAAGAGAACAAAACAAGGCAAAGAATAGATCAGAAATGGTCAATTGAGAAGAGATGAGAATGGTAAAGGAAAGGAGAAGAAAGTGTAATAGAAAGCAAAATTAAAAATAAAGACTAAAATTTAGTAAAATAGAAAAGAGAAGGCACTTCTTATGTCATGTGATGTCATAATACTGATTCAACTAAATGAGCCACTCATTTCTGCTGAAATCCAGGGAAAAGATGGTAGGGGTAAGAGAGAGAAAAAAAGCACAGATGAACTTTAATGGGTCACCACACTCTCATCCATTGATTATGTTGGTTTCCCATTTGAACATTATTCTCCTGTTCTGGGGGTTGAAGGAATAAAAAGTGATAATAGAGTTAAAAATGAGAGGCTAGAGTAAGAATAAGAGAAAATAAAAGAGACAGTCAAATGAAGTTAGAATGAATTTTCCAGATGACGCAATAATCCTTCAATCTATTTCCTTCCCACCCACCCTTTCTGCCATCACTTTCAATTCTTGCTCAATTATGTTTACCATTTTGAGGGTAACAAAAGCCACTTGCTTAAAGTACTTATTTTCCATATTGCACTAATCATTGTTCAACATTATGACTATCTGCTGCAGTCTATCTTCTTAACTATCCCAACCTGGATATTTTTCCATTCTGGCAGCCTTTACAGGCACATCCATTGAGCCATTTCTTGCCTTAATAGTCATCAGGTTCCAGAAGACCTTTCAAAATAGCAGTGAATATGTTTAATTATTAAAACAAAGAAAGAAAAATTTTCCAAATGCTGGATTTAACCACCATATGCCTCTCTTTTCAACTGATATTCCTAAGAAGAAAAATATCTGTTTTTAGTATGGATAGAATCTTTAGAACACTTACACACCAAAACCAGTATTAATACCAATTTAACAGATTCCTCAGAAATATGCCCAAATTTTGAATAACTATAATTAGTCTCATCAACTAGAAAAGTGCATCATGAGGGCAGAGTTGCTTGTTCAAAGTATGCCGAAGTATCTCCCAGGGAGAGGACAGGGATGTAGTGGCAGATGAAGTGGAAAAAATCTTGGGGGATTCCAGCAGCCTTTGAGGAGTTGGATCTTCAGTGGAAGGGAAGACATGCAATAGGACTCAGTCTGCTTTGCTTGGATGTTCATGATTTTTTCTTCTTCCTACCTGGCAGCCACAGTTTCTCAGCCACAGAAGTATGTTGGTTTGAAAAGCTTAAAAGCCACTTATAATAAAGCATATAGCAACATGAAAAAGGACATATGACTTCCAGTTTCATTTCAAATAGAAAATATACTTTTTTTAAAAATAGATCAACCTAGAAACATACTTATCTAATTGGACACCTTTAATATATAACATACTAGCAATTTAAAAATATAATATTTGAATTAATCTGTGATTCATTCAACTTTCTCCAACCCTCAGAGAAAAGTTTCAAGTTGTTTTTCTATGGATCTTAGAGAAAAATTATTAGATATATATATATATATATATATAAAAAATATATATATATATATATATATATATATATATATATATATATATACACACACTACCTGTAGTAGCAGGAAATTTTAAAATTACTGAAAAATATGAAATGAGCTTCAATATCCTAAACAATAAAATTTAACATTCTTCTTTTCATTGTTGAGTCTACATTGTTATAGAATAATATTGATAATATCTCACTATTATGATGAATGAATGAATTAAAGAATATTAATGATGTATCAGGCCATACCTTAATGCAACATAACCAACCCCTAATGTCCATTGTGATGAAGGAAGATATAGAAGGGACAATTGCAAACTATAAATAATTTATACTTGTTAGAATTAATTTACCTACCTACCAATACTTTTGTAGTAACAAAACCCAGAGAATTTCCATTTTACCACCTCTGTATATTGTCTAATAAGAAGTTAAAGGCACTATACAAAATACAACACAGGTGACAATAAGAAGACGCCAGACTGGGTTGCATTTAATGAAATATATCATTCTTGCAGAAATATGCCTCTCACTTGAACACACAGAAGAAAATCTGGTAACTGGTTACATTACTAAGTGAGGCTATTTTCAAGAAATTCAACATATTTTTCTGTCTCTGTTATAAACCCCAAACCAATCTGTTCGCTCCAGTAGAAGACTGCTAAGAAACAGAACTCCAACTGGCCCAATTATTGTAGCACGTAAAAGAGAAGAGGTAGGAAAGTTAATTACTATTGATTTCCTAATATGTGCCAGCATTTTGATAGGTATTTTACATATTTTAGCTATCTGAGGGGAACAAGCCCAGTGAAGAAATGGCAGTAAAGTTAAATCAACCGTATTTCTAATTTCAGTTCAGCTGATTTAGTACCCCAGTTAGGTAAAATTTCACTTTCTTTTCTCTTTTAAACTTGGTTCCACTTAATCTCTCACTGAATCTGAGATTTACTCATATGCTTATTAGAATTCTTCCCCTTTTGGTTGATAATTTTATAATTTGAATTTTGGAAGGGTATAATATAAATGAAGTAAGAACATGAATCTTAAAAGCTTTGAGTTGTAGGTAAAACATCATTCTAAGTCTCAGTTTTCACATACACCTTCTTTGCAGGACTGCCATAAGAAAAAATAAATAAAATATGTAAAATACTATAATGCTTGGCACATTGTAAAAGCACAATACGTATTAGCTATGGTTATTATTTTTATAAAAAAGTAAACTGATTCTCAGTTAACATGTCTCACTCACAGCCATAAGTCAATTCCAGAGTGAAACCTAGAACCATGTTTCCCCAACCAACACTCTGCAATTTTTAGTATTTTAGCATATTCCTGTGATGCAAGGATGCATTTCCACATTCTTGTAGTATTTAAAAGTCACTAATCCTTATAGATTTTTATTAGTTCATTTGTAGACTTTTAAAGACTTTCATATTCATTTGATAAACATCAGAATCTTTGCACCACAAAGAGTATCCTTTAAACAATTTTATTTTTCATTAGAGACTACTTTCTATTCTCTTAGAATTAACCAAGTGGAAATTCATGCAGAAATGGTTCAACATAAGTCATATTTGTTATTGTCCTATTGTAGACACAAAGGCTCATCTACTGAAACAGTTGCTTTATCCCACTTGCCCAAATCCTCATCTTATGGTACAAGAAACTTCCATCAGGACAAACACTTTGTACAGTTTCTAGTAATGAGAACAGAAAGTCATCAACACCATCATAGGATAGAAAGGCTTTTTCTATTACCAACCCTTTATTATTCAGTGCCAACCACATAACCATATATTTAATTTTTAAAATTTTGATCAACTTAAACTTTACATAGACAATAAACATACTGAAGAAACATGATGACTATGATTATAAGTGTTTAGTAGCCTTTCTAAAGTATCACTGAGAAAAATCACTCTTTTCATAAAGTTTCTATTATTATGATGTGCAAAAGAAAATTTAGTTAAATCATGTAACATGAAATAATTACTCACTCTGAAGAGTTAGTAAGCTGTAAATAGAATCTTTATTCAAAAAATCCCATACTTTCTTCAGATGAAGATTATTACTTAATAATGTTGGATAATTTTAACTTCACTTTTTTTACACACAACACTTTATTTTGGCAAAGAGGGAAACAAAATGAATCAACTGAGATGTAAAAATTAAGAATATATATTGTTCATTTTCTACATCAAAAATTAATAAAAATCTACCACAAGCACAGAATATTACTCTTATTCAATGGATCTGTGAGGGTCACAGGCCAGTAAAATTTTATAAACTTATTTAGTTAAGTGTAATAGTTTTAAAACTAAAACTATTGTCCCCTTTGGGAAATGAAGAGCCAATTCTGCTATTAAAGATTAAAATTTTTATAAAAATCTACATTTAAAATAAACAAAAACTCATCAGACTTTAATGAACTAATCAAGTAGATAAAATAATGTATGCTGTTACAAAACATACCTACTACAATTCATTAATTTGTAAAAATGAAATTTTTGAAAGTTATACTAGAAAAGGTTGAATTTATATACATTACAACTTTAATTTCTATTTCAAAATTGTTATCCCAGTTCATGTAGTATATATTATTATCCTATATTTGTCATTATAGAAATGCACATCCAAGTTCCATCACCAGTATTTCTTCATTTTCTTTTAAAGATATGCTTTATATTGCATCAAAAAATTAACAAGAATAGTTATTCCGTTTTGTTAAAGACTTGTTCTATTAGTTTATATACAAATAGGCATTTCAATTCATTGGTATTCTTTCAAAGCTTTAGCAAATTTTTAAATCAGTTCCTCCCACTGACTCTTAAGGTAATTATACATACCACAGTCTGATGATTAACTTGAATCACTTCATCGCCAGCATGGATTTTCTTACACCGATCTGCCGGTGACTGAATTTAACATAAAAGAAATGACAAAGAACATGAATTTTATCAGTTATTTCCTTTATCTGCAAACACTACAATAATTTAATCTCCTTAAATTAGATTTTAAAAATTAAACACAGGGCTGGGGATGTAGCTCAGTGGTAGAGTACTTGTCTAGCATGAATGATGCCCTGGGTTCAATCCTTAGCACTATGAAAAAAACTTATCTATAATCTTTAAGGAATTAAACTAAAAAACTATTATTGGTATTTAATATACTGTTTGTATTCTATTTTTAGCCAATGACAGGAAATAGAAATTCAAAATAATATAGAGATATTTATGTTTTAAAAGAATAATGTGCTTCTGAGAGCATTAAGAGAAAAATGATAATTGGTATTAACCTTTACAGACTTTATCCAGGCAACCGTGCTGGAATCTACTGTGCAACTGCTTCAAAAATATATTTCAAAATATTATCTTTTTACTTTGACCTTTTCAATTTAATAAAATGATTCACATTAGCCTCAACAAATGAGTATTTCAAGTACAAGCATATGACCAGCATCAAAGCTTTAAAGTCTGATAACTAAATTGTAAATTTGTTTCAGCATTAATAATACCAATTCAGAATAATCCAGAAAAGCAAATTAAAATATGAATAGCAATTAACTCAAAAATACTTACACTCTTAAGTACCTAGTTACAAGAGGATGCTATTTCTTATGTTTCACTTAGGGTAATACACTGGCCAAACAAAACCACATTAAATGAACTAAAATGCCAACAATTATACAGTATATAGCAATTCCATCACTTTATCTCTTTAGTCCCACATGATATTAAAAACAAGAACAAAGAAAAAGCAATTTTGTAACTTAATGTTGACAAGTTTCAAGAAGAATTTTGGAAACTAAAATAGGATTTAGGACAGAAATTTTGTAATATTGTAGGTGTGGGTAATGAAGTTAAAGTAGTATTTTCTTTTTCCCATAAAGACTACTTATTATTGATTATATGCATGTTTAGTCATTTTAATATGGCACTATACCTTTCTATTTTGAATACACAGAAAAATTTTCATATAAAAATGTTTATCAAATCAACTATAAATATAGTTATATTACTCATTAGTATCTATTGAAAACTAATTGATAGAATCTGCAAAGTAAAATGCTACTTTTGAGACCCTGGAATAGGATTTACTTTGAAAGTAATTTTGAATTACTTTATGTTTGATTCAATTTCAATTTCCAATTATTTCAAAAACAAAGTTTTGAAATAATATTAACTTCAACTCAACAAGTTTTTTAAAATTCACAATAAAATTATTTGCCATAGGCTAAAATTCAAGACAAGATGCCATTCCAAGGAATTTTTCAGTTATTGAAGTGATGACAAACCATACTGTTAAGGGGGTAGATTCATCTATATGAACCCTATTCTAAGAAAATATCATATCTCATAGCACCTTTAGGAGGTCAGCATATTACCTAATCTGATTAGTACTATGTAATGATTCTGAAAAGTCTGTAAATCATTATTATAACTATAGTCGGTTCCTGGGCTATTTGTTTCATGACTGATCTTTTAAAAGGAGGATATGAAAGAAAAATATCAGGCAAATGGCTCTATTCGTGATGTAAAAAAATGATGGTTGGTATATAAAATTAAAAGGTAATCATAAAATTTTTTGCACAGGTCATTGAAAAAAGGAGTAAGTCATATAAATTATGACTTAACACCTAATTAGACTTTAAGTGTTAAAAGGTATCCCAGAGATCATGTTGTCCAAACTCCTCATTTTTTAAAATTTATTGGTTCTTTTAGTTATACATAATAGTAGAATCCATTTTGACACAATTATAAAAGCATGGAATGTATCTTGTTCTAATTCAGTCCCCATATATGAAAATAAAGAAACTAGGGCACAGCAAAGCAAAATATAACTTACCCATTTTTTATGAGCAGCTTTACTAAAACTCAACACAGAACTGCTAATTATAAATAACTGAAGATAATAAAAATAGTAAAATATTTTCAAGAATAACCAAAGGATGAACTATTAATACATGATTCATATTTGAACTACTCCTAGATCAATCTTTCCCTTGATCATTTATTAATTTATCAAATATTGCTGAGTGATTAATGTGATCAAGGCATAGTGCTCAACCTTTTGTTTTTTACAGATCTCAGACAACAGAGAGAACATTCCTACAAATCTTCATGATACATTTCAAAAGCACCATTTCTGTGATTCCTTCTCTGATTTCACTTGATAACATTTACTATTTTTTCCTTTGTTCATCGAAGCAAACTGTACTACCTACTTCTACAGATGAACCTCTACTTGACATCCACTCCTCAGGGAAAGCAAGCTAATTTATTTTAGAAAACCTTCCAATTCTGAGTACCATGCCTAAAATATGGCAGACATAGAGTACAGGCTCATTAAATGAAAAAATGAATAAATGAGTGATCAAATGAATACACAAATAAGAATGATTAAAGGCAAGAGTATAGTTTATAGCATCTGACTGAATTTAAAATTATTAAATAGTTGACAATATGTATTTAATTGATTTTTAATGTTGTTGTTGTTCTTGTTTTGGTACCAGGGATTGAATCCAGGGGTGCTTAACCACTGAGCAACATCCCAGCCCTTTTTAATTTTTTTTTAAATTTATTTTGAGACAGGGTCTCACTGAGTTGCTTAGGGCCTCACTAAGTTGCTGAGGCTGGCTTTGAACTTGTAATCCTCTTGCCTTAGTCTCCTTAGCAACTGGGATTATAGGCATGCACCACTGCACCCAGCTTTTAACTGATATTTTTGATCCCCTCTTACTCCTATATTTAATACCAAATGTAAAGCTGCTACAGCATTCCTACTGCAATGTACTTTGTATGTTTCACCTTTTACAAGAAACCAAGATAAATATGTAGAAATACCTATAAGTGACTGAAGTTAATAGGTGAATTAGATGAAGAAGATGTTGACTTTTAAGAATAAAATGTTGGTCAAATGTTGAAATTAATAATAATTTGAGATTACACAAATTCTACCTCAGTCTTTGTTAAAGAAACACAGCATAAACATGCTGTTATAATTTCTAATAGAAAAAAATAATAAATTTATAATCTGCTTATAGGGAAATCTGGGATAACAAAATGTAGGAATAATGGTTTACTATGTTATTCAATTTTATTATACTAATCATGTTAACACCCAATATGATCACTTCGGATTTCCTTTTCTATAGCATAGCTATAGTTCTCTATAGTAGAGCCTTTCACATGTATTAACTTATTTTATTTTCACAATAATGTTGTGAGGTATGTAGGATTTAGGCCTGAGGATTTCTGACCCACTGCTTATAGTGGTTCTCAAACTTGTGCATGCCTCAGAACCACCTGTTAAAACAGAATCTCTTATGACTAAAGGCTGGTCCCCAGAATTCCTGATTCAGTAGGTCTAGGGTGGGGTCTGGGAATTTGTATTTCTAGCAAGTTCTCAAGGGACGCTGATACTGCTGCTGGTTCAGGAACTTCACTGTGAAAATCACTTAGCTATACCATTCTGCCTCTCCTCTGACTTCAGAGAATTGATTTAACTGATGTTCTTTTTAGGAATTAGCTAATTTTCTTAAAGTAACTAAAGTTTTTACAGATTGAGGTACATTCTTTTAGGTGTTACAATAACTTTTCATGAACCAGAAAATACTTAACAAAGATAACTCTAGTTGTAAATGGAAAATACCGGATTTACTCTAAGTAGCTATTCTAAACTAAATAAAATAAATACAATTCAAATGAAACCAGCACCTATTATCTCTATATATTTTTAGTCATATGTCCCATTTGTTCTGGTCCTCAGAAGCCAATCTCACTCAAGTGAGATATACATACACCAAAATTTGAAATGTTGCAATACTTACATTTTCTGTGGTTCCAGTAATTACATGGAGGCCATCATATGTTGATTTAATATACATACCCTAAGAAAAAGACAGCATCAGAAAAAAAGTGATTGAAATATTTTCAAATATATTATAATTTCATTTTAAAAAAAACCATAATTTAACAATGCTGTTTTTAACCTGGTGAGAAATTACTATCTCAATGTTCTGTTTTCTAAAGTTTATCTAAAAAAAAAAAAACTACACTCAATCAAGTAACTATTTGATAAGTAATTTACCTATGGAACTTATAAAATGCAGTATAGTAATTTAATACTCTGAAGAAAGGATACACCACACTTCCCCCCCAAATCTATAGTATAAACTTTGTGGTAAAATAAAAATTATAATGGGAAATTCAAATACCGGTATGTTATTAGCCTATGATATTTGATATAATTTCACAATAAAAAGTAGGTTTCTACAGAGATACTTCAACTATAAGTAACTGAAGTCAAAAATGTAGCAAAATCTTATGTACTTTGTTCTCCTGATATTTTTAGTATTTTTCCTTTATTTATTTCCTCCTTTATTTGCTTCCTTTATTTCTTATTGATTATATCAAATCATCTCTATATCAGTAATTAAAAGGTAATGTGTGGCAATTCTTTCTCCCGAAGGCAAGATTTCATTTTCCATTTAAATAAAGCCATTTTACAAAATGCTTCATTATAGTTTTAAAATTTTCCAGAAATCCTGAAATTGGGCAAGCTTGAAGAATAAATGAAAACTTCAAATTATGGATGGTGATGAGAATTTAAAGAAAAAAAATCACAATAAAAGATTCATAGTTTAGATATTAAATAATTTAAATATATCAGTAAAACATGATTATGTAAATGGTTTATTTTGTCCTCAAAGGAAGAATCTGTTACTCTTATTCTCTTTTGAGCATAAATTACCTGAATTTTACCTACTTTGATTTTCAAATTATTAATTTCATATATAAAAATCACAAATTTTAATTAACTGCAGATCTGAAACACAAGAGATTTAATAATAACCAACAATACCACTGCAGGAATAGCATACATTTAGCACTTATGTAAATGAAACAACTACTATAATGTTAATTTACCATACTTTTATGTTAATTACATACTTATATACTTAATATAAATGTGTTTTCAGTGAAAATAAGAGATAAAAAGCAGTAAAGTACTGGGTGGGTTTTAACTCTAAAAAGTCATATCAGTAATGCCATATATCTAAAATTTAGTACCCCAAATGGCTGAGCCTATACTTCTAATGTGAAATGAAATGAACTTAATCTTAAAAGATGATCATTTGTCTGTGAACTCTTGTTTCTTAAATGAAAGTTCATCACTTTATATAAAATAAGTAACCTCAGCAAAAATAAAAACAAATTAATTAATGAATTGGCCTGTAGTTTTTGGCTGTAACTATGTGACAATTTTCAACCTTATGTTGTTGACAGTTGTATATGTACTTACTTTTGAAATTAATATTTATCCCATTATTTATTGGAAGTTAAATATGATGATATTATCATATTACTTAGACAAGGAGAAGGTCTCTTCTAACATTTTCCCCTAGTAATTAACAAGATAATATAAAATCAATAAAGAATCTTAAAAAATATTTATAACAGCTAGACACTACATTTTGTTTTGATTTTTTTTTTTTTACATATAAGGATTGTAAGAGGATAAAGTAGAAAAAAGACAGTGAAAGAAACATTATATATTGCTTGGACATACAAACAATCATCTATCATTATCTATCACCATCATCACTAATATCTACTTGTTACAATGTACCAGGGACTATTTTAAGTGTCTTACATTTATTTCATAAAAGCCTATGTAGTGAACCTATCATTAACCCTGTTTTAGAGATAAGGACACTAAATCACAGGGAATTTGGAGAGTCTGCCAGATAAAGAAGTCTCATCCCACAGCCCATATTCTCAACAATTAGTCTCATGATTTGTGGAGTTATTAACATATTAACAGTTAAGAGAGTTAATTTATTTTTCTTTTTAGATCACAATAGTTGGCAGTTGTATTGATGAATGGTCAATAAATATATGAAAAAATGTTCCACCTTTCTAGCAATTAGAGAAACACAAATTAAACTATACTGAGATTTCATCTCACTCCAGTCAGAATGGCAATTATTAATAATTCAAGTAACAATGAATGTTGGCGAGGATGTGGGGAAAAGGATTCACTCATACATTGTTGGTGGGACTGCAAATTGATGCAAACACTATAGAAAGCAATATGTAACTGCTTTTAATATAGTCAAAACTGAATTCCTTATTCTTTTTTCTCCTTCTGGTAGTACTAGTTAGAAAAATGTCCAAAGTCAGGCATGAAAAGGAAGAAAAGAAATAAATTGTTTGGATGAGTTCCAAACTAATCTTCTGAATAACAAAGAGTCTACAGAAATACATGTGATTACTTGTTCACCTCTTAGAAATGACCAATCAGCAGGAGGACATGTAAAGCAAATGTTTTTTTTTTTCTTTTTTTTTTTCTGGAATGGAGACTAAAAATGGTGTTCCATTCAATCAAAACCTTCACACCTCTTTTTTTTTTTCTGTTCAATTAATTCTGGATCAGACTTTAAACACCTCCCTCTGTCTTGATCAGCTCACCAAAATGACATTTGCTTCATTCTTTTTCCAAATGGCCAAAGCAACCACACAGTCAAGTCAGTTAAATTCAAGCACCTACATAGAAAAAGAACTCTCTAGGCTCAGAAGCTTCCCTAAGAATGGCCCCAGCCCCTTCCTCACTATTCAACTCATCTCTTGGCTCTGATCTAGGTTTGATACACTCAAAATCTCATTTTCTTTCCTTTAATTTTCTATTAATTATTGTTTAAAAGCAAGTTCCACGTTTTAATCATGACTAAACACATTTCCAACCATTCTTTATAATGCTTCAGAACTCTCAAATCTAAGAAATCCTATAAGATTTGACTAATTTGTTAGGAAGCTGATGAACAATCTATCCAGTTTATCAGAGGAAGAACAAAGCAGTTACCTTTTGCCCATGAGAGATGTTCTATTTTAAAGTTAGAAGAAGACCTACAGATCTTTCTAATTAATTTTATTAAAGCTTGGTGTTTTCCCACATCTTTCTATTTTTTCCCATCTTTTACCATTTAGACATTTCCTATGGTTAAGCATGTGCTAAATGTTATGAAAATTCGCAAACCTATTTATTTCAAATGGGATTTACTAAGTTCAAATATGATTGAATTTTAAAATGATACCTTGAATAAGCTATGTAAAATCTCTATTTAGTCTTTTAAAGTTTGATATCAATCAGAAGATATAAGTCCATACTTAACTCTTTTAATTAGTAGTCAACATTTTAGGGTTTTCTTTTCTCCCTTTGAAATATTAACTCAGTAATATGCTGTCATTGCCCTTTAAAAATGAATTTACTTAAGTTTTTCCAGTTTTGAAGTCATCCTCCTAAGTTTCTCACACCTCCCTCTAGCAATTCCAAATTTGAAAATGAGATAATGGGAAAAATTTTGCTCAGATGTACTTTATTTAGATTTACCTGTCTCTATTGTTTATTACTATTTTTTTAGATTTTTAAATTTTTTTTTAGTTATAAATACCTTTATTTTATTTATTTTTATGTGGTGCTGAGGATGGAACCAAGGGCCTTGCACATGTTGGCGAGCACTCTACCACTGAGCCACAACCCTAGTTATAAATAGTAATAACCCTGTTTATTACTATTTAATATAAAGCAACTGGTGAGGATCTGCAATTCTTTATTCTCATTTGTAAAAGGAAAAATAATTACCTACTATATAGGTTTGTAAGGAAGATACCTGGCAAAAAAACACATACTTTAAAATTTTCTTTTTTCTTCCAGTTCTTTCCCAGATGATTTAATTCAATTTCTTAATATTTTAAATCCATTACTATTTCAAAGAGCTGATACACTTCTTTTAAATAAAAAAGAAAGACAAAAACCTAAAAGACTTGTCCAGGGCTATACCTTCATTTAAAAAACAATCAAGGTTTCATAAAGTCCATCAATTAGCATTGTGTTAACACTTCACATTGCTATTTCTCATCATGATTTCAATGGAAATTAGAGGACAAAATAAGGTACTTTTCTCTAACACTTCTGTATTTAGAACCATATACTCATAGAGTTATAAGGAGCTTTAAATATGGTCTACTCCTGCCCTCCCCCCATATTCTACTCATGACAAGATCAAGCCTAAGGAAATTAAATTTATTATCCCACTCCCCCAAGATAACGCTCACATTTCATGTAAATGATTTTTGTCAAGGTGTCTTGATTTCTAGTCCAATATAATATAGTATTAGTTAATAATTTTCCATTCTACAAATCATACTTAGAGAGCTTCCTTTCCTCCTTAACCTGAAAGAGAAGATGTAGAAAGGAAAATATTTGATACGGAAGGCTTTTAAAAAAATAAAACTGGGCTTTGTAAAAGTTAAATAAATGAATACAGTAGTCACCCCTTATCCATGAGGGATATGTAGCAAGACACATAGGGAATGCCTAAAAGCATGGATAGTATCCAACCCTATAGATATTATATTTTTTCGTATATAAACATACCTATATATTTTTTCCTATATAAACATATGATATAGCTTAATTTATAAATTAGGCAAATAAGAGATTAAAAAATACCTAATGATAAAAGAGAACAATTAAAACAATATATAGTAATAAAAGTGATATGAATGTGATCTTTATTTTTTCTCAAAATATCTTGTATCTTCAACTTTTCACTTAAAGGAAGCACTTCATGTCTTCTTTTAGGCATATCTACATATCGAGTATCACTATTCTTGTGCTTTGGGGCCATTATTAAATAAAATAGGGCTACTTGAACCCAAGCACTGTGATAACATGACTGTCAGTCTGTTAACCAAGATGGCCACTAAGTGACTAATGGGTGGGCAGCATATACAACACAGATACACTGGACAAAGGGATGATCCATGTCTTGGGTAGAGCAGTATGATATTTCATCACACTACTCAGGATGGTGAGAAGCTTAAAACTTACCAATTATTTATTTTCGGAATTTTCCATCTATTATTTTCTAACTGTGGCTGACCAGAAGTACTAAAACCATACAAAGTACAATCATAGACTATACTTATAAGAATTTAAAATCATAAAGATTACTTCAAATAAATATTAGAAATAAATTCTTAAAACTAATCCAAGTGTTCTAATTTAGAAGTTATAATGATAACACATAAACATATAGCTATATCTGATATGGTGATTTTCATCTTCCCAAGAAAATAGCCATAAAAGCTACAAAAGCACCAGGAACTATGGATACCCAGAAGTAATCTACCAAATATCCCAATTTTAAGGATTAAAAAGTCACTATATGGACTAGAAAAATGGCCTCAAATCAAAAAGTCATTGGTGGTCAATGAAGGCTTTGCCTTCTGAAACAGTTGCATGTGTATATGTGAACAAGAAAGGACGTAAGAGCTAAACCTGCTTAGAGATCTTTAAGAAGATGCTATCTGAATTAAATTATGAGTACTAGTTTCTAAGATTTCTATTTTACAAAATATCAATGATTGGCAAATTGATTCAACAGGGAGAAAGTAGAAACAATGTAGCATGATACTAATGTTTAAGAGTTGTGTAGTGGGCTGGGGATGTGGCTCAAGTGGTAGCACGCTCGCCTGGCATGTGTGCAGCACCCGGTTTGATCCTCAGCACCACATACAAATAAAGATGTTGTGTCTGCCGAAAACTAAAAAATAAATATTAAAAATATTCTCTCTCTCTCTCTCTCTCTCTCTCTAAAAAAAAAAAAGAGTTGTGTAGTAGGTAAATGTTTTACAGTCATTTTCCTGGATTTGCCTTCCTTTGCACTATTGATTTTACATGCTTTCTTTATACAGCTTTATTTTTAAAATCTTTTCCTTGGGTTCAATTTAGAATTAAAACATTTTTCAATCAGGTGAACAAAAGAGAAGATGATTATCTTCATTTCATACCAAAATTATATCAATACATCTTACAGATATTAGCCTAATGTTAGCAATATCCACTTATATATTCACCCTTTTAAGAATGGATGTGAATTATAATATTAGTTTGGTTTAGCGAACAACCCCATGGAAAGAAAGATCTATTTAAGCCAGGACAAAACAGCAAAGGCTGATGGTGCCTGCCTGTAATCCCACCAACTTGGGGGGCTGAAGAGGGAGGGTTGCAAGTTCCAGGCCAGCCTCAGCAACTTGGCAAGACCCTGAGCAAGTTAGCTAGACTCTGTCTCAAAATATAATTAAACAAAAATTAATAAAATATACAAATAAATAAATAAATAAATAAATAAATAAATAAATAAATAAAACAGATGGTCTGGTTAGTATCCAGGTTCAATTCCCAGTAACAAATAGACAAACAAAAACCAAACCAAACCAAAACAATAAAAACAAAAACTAGAACAAATCAAAGTAAAACAAAAACCTTTCTTGTATAAGCAGGTAACACTTTGGTATTTATTATAAAACTCTTAAATTTCCCTTTAGGTTAAGAAACGTTAAGGGGCTAGGGTTGTGTCTTAGCGGTAGAGCACTGGTGAGGCCCTGGGTTTGATCCTTAGCACCACATAAAAATAAATAAATTAATTAATGATATTGTATCCAACTACAACTAAAAAATAAATATTAAAGAAATGTTAATTTGAATGCAATCAAAACTACATGATCAACAAATTAAATGAGATAATTCAGAAATCACCATTTTCATTTCTTCTTAATTTTTATTCATAATACTTCTTATCATGACAAATTCCTACTCATTAAGTCCTTCAAGTAAAAAATACCAAAATGTTCAATATCTGTTAAAATTCATAGATTCACAAAGTTGGAGGTTGTTTTATCCATATCATCAGTTGTTTGTTGATGATGGCTTTGATAAACATGTTATCTCTTACCAGCCCTTCACTTGGTTTGATGTTTGCCAGCTGAATCACTTCCAGGTGAGCAGACTGTGAAACTAGAGGATCAGATGATAGGGAGATGATGTGGTCACAGACTCCAGAAAGAGTTTTACACTGGAAGCAAAAAGAAAAATAGTTATGGTAAACTTATTACTAAGTAAAATCAGCTTTTGTTAATTTATTTCTATTCAGTATTTGGGATTGAACCCAGGAGTTTTCTACCATTGAGCTTCATTCTCATCCTAACTCTCTTTTTTGAGACAAGGTCTTGCTAAATTGCCCAAGCTGGTCTCAAACTTATAACCCTCATTCCTCAGCCTCTTGAGTAGCTGGATTACAGATGCTATGCCACCTTGCCTGGCTGTTACAACTTTCTTAATGAGGAAAATAAACCAAACAGTAAGTGTTTGACTGGCATTTTATCCTACTAAAAGCTGCATAAAAAAGGTATTCAGGTGAAAAATGCACATAATACAACAAATTTAAATCATGGATATAAGAACTATATGCCAGAATATTCATGAAAGTTATGGCTATGTATTATTTTTATTACTCAAGTCATCACATCTAAAATGATTGTTTCTAAACAATCTTAAATAATTTGAGAACTTCCTGATAACAGCTATAAAATTGAATTCAATTAAATAATATAAAAATCCTGCTGTCTTTTACTTCATGTTTAGAAAAGCTTAAAAACAGTTTGATCAAGGTACTGGAAAGATGAATGTCCTAAATCTGCTTGGTGAACTCTTCTTACCCATTTTAAGTTTCCTACCTTGTCCAGGCAAAGTCTGGCACAACCTCAATCTGCTTTCTCAGCATTCTATGAACAGTCTGACAAATGTATGATATCTTATTCTGAACTCCCCTTATTCTGAGGCAGGGATCATAGGTCTGGCAGGGACTTGTCTCTGACTATCTATCTATTAGTTGGATGAACAGAAGAGCAAGTGAACTTTAACAATTAGTAGAGTGGCTTACTGAGAAGAGAAAGCTAGTGCTTAAGTCAGGATAAATCCATTCATGCTGATATAAAATAACAGACTTAAAACATTATAATATGTTATATATGGTATGCTTAAGTCTTAGACATGGTACAATCATGAAAAAGGGAAATATGAGTATGAAGCTTGAGATATATTTCACTAAAATATGCTAGTATGCTTCACATACTCTTTTTGTACTTACATAGGTCTGGTTTCCATCATTTGAGGATTTTCCCTTACCACAGAAGGAGTTACCATTTTGTAGGCATCGAGGCATCTTCTAATAATCTCCAATATGTTATGTTTGTATTGTGACCACTGAATTGGTCTACTTTGAAGGAGATAGTTCCCTCTGCCTGGTTAGGATAATAAAACCTCTATTTATTACATTCTGTCCTTGGTCCAGGCCTCTATCCATGCTGGGCTCAGTTTCCTTACACTACAGAAAATGTCAGGCTAAATTTCTCTCTGTAATGGTACTTAGGCTTTTTGCATCTGCTTCTTAAGGCTGCACTTCAACTGTGGCTATCAGCTCCTAAAGAGTAACTGCATGATACCAATACCCATGGAAAGAATATGGACTTGATATGAAAATGTGGGCGAACACCATACTGAAAATGACTTACTATGGGCATGTAAGCAAGTTATTTTATATCTTTGAGGCTGTTTTCCTTATGTAGAAAATTAAATGAGGAGATAAAGATTACCTTATATGGCTTGTAAGCTAAAACATGATAATATATTTTAAAAAGAGCCCATAGGACTCCTATTCAAAGATGACATTAAATAAATGCTTATTTTCTCCATGTTGTTTTCACTACTCTCAAAGGACTTAATCATTATTTTTTAGATGAATTAACCTATTATTCTTAATCCCATGACCTTGTTGACCATCTTATAATAACTAGTAACCACACTGGTAAGTCTAGCTGCATAGCCATGATGGAGAATTCACATCTGATTACTCACTCTGGTGTTCAGGTCTCAGTGCTCTCAGATATAACAAACATATTTTTCCTTGAAGAGCTTCTACACAAAATGCTAAGAGGAAATTGATCCCTCAATAGGAGACTTTACAGGGACCAGTTTAGTGGAAGAGGGATCTGTGTAGTCACACAAGGCCTTACAGTTGATTTTATATTTTATTATTGATGTCTTGGAATTATTGATTTATTTTGAACAAGCTGCTAGGTATTTTCATTTTTTCCACTCACAAATTATATAGTCCATCCTGGGATTGTGTGTGGTGTGTGTGTGTGCATGCGCGCACATATATCCTGGAGATTAGTGCTCTATCTGAGGTGCCTGTGGTAATGATTTTCTCCCATTTTGTAGGTTCTCTCTTCACATTACTGTTTGTTTCCTTTGCTGAGAATCTTTTTAGTTTGAATGCATCCCATTCATTGTGGTTTTTTTTTGCAAGTTCCTCTTGAAAATATTCATCAGTAGCCAGGGGGAAAAGGACAGAATGGCAGCATGGCAGCAATTACACAAAAACTGGCTACAGTTCAAATTGTATATTTGACAGGGGAACATAGTAACCTTGGCAGATTTAAATATTTTAACTCTTCCTTTCTTTTTCTATGTGGTTACATTTTCATTCTTATTTTCTTTTTATCTCAAAGGGGGAGAAAGCACTGCTAACTTTGGAGTGTTTCTATACAGGATATGTGGATTGTATATGAATCTGAAGATTATAATAAAAATAATATTTTGTGGTTTCTACAAATTGAAGCATATTTCAAAAGAATCCAGTGTGTAAATAATTAGGAAGGCAATGGGTATACTTAAATGGCTCAATATGTGTACATTATAATATTCAGTCCCTCATATAACACTCTGGTAGTGAGTAATAGTAGTTCCTAAATAGGAGAGCTCCTATTCAGGAACTGGTAAGTTTAGAAGTGGGATGGAAGGAGACTGTAGACATTTTTGGAGAAAGAAAATACCAATTAAATCCACATACTGAGTTGCAAAGCATTTGCTAAGATTTTTATTAAGTAATTTCTGGTTTGTTGAATGCCTGATATGTGATAGATGCTGCTGAGAATATAAAATATGAGTAAAAAATTGACTTTATCAGGAAAAGTTATGAGTATTTAATAAATATCTTGAAAACTTGATAGAAAAGAAAATCCACTAGAACCTTGCTGTCTGTTATAGAGATAATGTACTAGGACCTTTATATTGTTGTGCTTGGCATTAGACTAAATAAGCCAATCAGAAGGGGTATAAAATGGCCTTGCTCTATATGCTAATTTTATACCCTGAACTGCATCATATACCAAGCCACTGCAGGAAACCCCACTAGAACTACAGCAGAGTTCCAGGAAGTTATTTAACATATTCTTATAAAAACTGAATTTGTTCAATTTCATATGAGATAGTCTGCTGTTATTTTAAAACACAATGTTATCTATCACTACCTAAGACTGTATTCTCGAAAAGAAAATAATAATATACCAAGAAATATATATATATTTTCTTTTATTTAACATCATTATTAGATATAATTTATAGAGTACCTATCATGTTGGCAAATGCTAAATACTTCATATTCATTGACTCATTTATCCTTATAGTGGTTCCTGAAGTTGATGTTATAACCAGTTTAACAGATGAAAGAGCAAGGCTAAATCATTAGACCAAGGTTACTGATTGGCAGATGCACTGGAATTCTTAAAATGCTTGCTCGATTTTGACTCTTGTATCTCAACTTCTGTTTTTGATACATTTTATTTTGTACTGTTTAAAATCAATGTCTGCTTTAGATGGGTGTTATACAACACATTTAAATTACTGAGTATAATGAAATGTAAGTTAAACCTGCAAGTTATCTTTTAATTTACACTGTAATAATTCTACCCAAGATTACGACAAAAGACTGGTAACTGAATAACAATTAACACACAGGGCTAAATATGCCTTACGAAACTCTAAAAACAGAAAAGTGACATATCTGGACTTAATAGTATTGTGTGATTTTTTTCTCCTGGGCAGTTTATATATTAATTTCAAGTCTGAATTAATACATTTAATCATATTTGGGGAAATTATTTTTTTTGTGTGTATGTGTATATGAGTGTGTGTGTGTGTGTGTGTGTGTGTGTGTGTGTGTGTATGAATATGGCTGGTTTTCCTGAATCTAAAAATTCTAAAAGAAAAAGATCTGAAAAGAGCAAGATTAGTTAAAATAATTGTTTTAAAACAGCTGTAAAGCAATATTTTAGTTACTGTAGAGATTTAAAAAACAATTCTACATTATTAACTTTCTGTCATTATATCTGAATAGCTTTCTTTCATTATCTCAAAACTGAGATATTTGGATTAATACATGAAATTTTAGCTATTCCTATTTAAAAGGAAATGCAGAAAGTGTTCTAAGTGCAAATAATAGTGAAAAACTAGAGAAAGCAAAGAAGTCTTGTGTGACTTTTGGAGCATACTCAGGCATTATTGAGCTACTTAAATTATTATTTTTGTTTTTATCTAATTAAATGGAGGACTGGTCAGTTAATCTTCAGAGTGTATTAGAAAAAATATTGGAAATGTTTTTAAAAAATCAGAAAACAATTTGACACAAGAAAGAACTTCAGGCTCATAGAGTTATCAAAAGAGTTCACAGAAAGAAATTTCTACTTTTCAGTTATACTCATATATATAAGAGTATAAAATATAAAACCAAGGTAAATTAGGGAAACAACAGATGAATATATATTTCAAGATGGCCACAGTGATGTGAAAACTACAATTTAAATGCAGTTTGTATAACTCATGTTTATTATCTATGGCATGGAAAATAGTAACAAAAGTTTTATTTTGACAAACAGTGTGTACATGTTAAATAGCTATTGATATAAATAATACTGCAATTAAAGTAGTTTATAAAACAGAACATGTTTTTATCTTATTGTTTGGTTTGGATATCAGTATAATTTGGAATAAATACTTCAACTCTGTGCCAAATTATGATGAAATCTGCATTGTATTTGAAGAACAAGGGGTGCACTGGTTTTATAAAATATTAAATATTAATTCTAACTTTAAATAGTGAGACCTCTAAATGATAGTAAGCCTCATTTAGAAATATAATATACTAAATTGCTAAACTTGACAGAGTATGTGCTG